CTCAGTTTTCAACTACCTTAGTAATCTGGCTCAAATAAAAGGAGGCATAGTGAGAGAGAAGGCCTCTGCTGGGAGAAGGGAAGATGCAGCAAAAATGGACCTGTTCCTTTCAGTGCCATAGGCTCAGCCATTTTACCTGGCACAAGCCTTATTCATTCAATTCTATCATCTAGTTCCATCCCCCCTGCCATGGGCAGAGACACCTCATGTTAGACCATGTCCCCCAAGGCTCTGTCCAACCTGGCCTTGAACACTGCCAGAAATGAAGCATTCACAACTTCCTTGGGCAACCTATTCCAGTGCCTCACCACCCTCACTGCAATGAACTTTTTCTTTATATCTAACCTAAACTTCCCCTGTTTAAGTATGAACCCATTACCCCTTGTCCTATCACTACAGTCCCTGATGAAGAGTCCCTCTTCAGCATCCATGTAGGCCCCCTTCAGATACTGGTTATCTCCCATTAGTTTAATTTTTTTCTGTAGTCCTACTAACTTTGGATTTCTGTGTCTGTTGGCTATGTTCTTTTTTCACAACTACTAACTATCAAAAAAAGGAGCAATCTTCATTAGCAGGGGAGGCAGGGTAACACCATTCTCCTCATTTGTTCTCTTTCTTGCTTTCACCGTCCCCCTTGCCAGCTTTTTATGCTTTTTCCACAGCAGCACTAAATCATAAAACAAAGTGTGGTGGATGGCCCATCCCAGTCTCATCCTGACTCAAAGCACAGTCACCAGTCACTGTCCTGGAATAATGAGATGTCTTGCTTGACTTGCCCAAAGCCACAGAGGTTACGTCATAACCAGAGATTTTTATTAAGCTTTCTGCTCTCAATAAATTTACTTCAGTAACTGCTAAAAATATCACTTATCTTCCTCCTCTTTCACATAATACTTAGTAAAACAGCATATTGGTTTCATTCTGTACAAAACAGGTCTGAAAATTTTCTTCCTATTTTTCTCTACCACTGTGGACAACTTGAGAAGCACAGTCAGATACTAAAAGATCTCAGAAAATCTTTCCTCAAGACAGATTTCAGATACACTGAGGATCATGTCAAAAGCAAGCTTGACTTCTCCAGGGCTATAAAGGCACAACTTATTTTATATTAGAGTAGAAAATGAAGCATGTTTCTGAGGATTTAATAAATGTCTTTTTATGAGAAACTGTGGTATCTGTACCTTTGCTGTTTGAAGCTGAACATTTTATTTCTCAAAAGTCTTAATTTGTTCTAAAGCTTTTACTTAGAATTTTGATAATTCAAACAGAACTATTAAATGCAAATATAGGAATGTTAATTCCCAGTCCCACTTACAGAGAAAATTGCTAAATGATTATTGCTGAACTATAAATTCTTCCCAGTTAACTATTAACTTGCTAAGATAAAAGCTGTGGCCTGTTCCCATGACCAGCAGTTGCACTTCAACAGGAAGATCCAGAGAAGTGTACTTTCATGGGAATTACTGATAGAACTTTATGCAATGAAACTAGATGTGTGCCATAAATATCTGCTGTAAAGAAACTGAACTTGCTGAAAACATAGAAGTACAGAAATAAAGGCACTCTGCCTTAGGTAAATGTTTCAGTTTTGACTGCAGGAATGTTTTCACAATTATCCAGAAAAAGAATGAAGAATCATTGTTTCAAACAATCAGAAAAGAGACTTAAAATTATCTGGAGAGCTGTATGATGAGTCCAATTCATTATTTAAGCTAATAAACTAAAATGTTTTAACCCATTCATGAAATTTTTCAAATGCAAATTTACATGGGTAATAAAAGGCTCCAAATGTTTCACAGAATGAGGTAATGCAAACTGTGACAATAATATAACTTTGAAAAGCCATTTTTGACATGAAATAAATCCTTGAATCAACCTGACTGGTAAAGAGTCAACCAAAATTCTACATAACCCTTAGATGATTCATTGTAGATACTTCCACAATTTAATAACAGACTAGATTTCATAGAATCATAGAATGGTTTGGGTTGGAAGGGACCTTAAAGACCACGGGCAGGAACACCTTCCACTAGGCCAGGTTGCTCAAAGCCCCATCCAACCTGGCCTTGAACATTTCCACGGATGGGGCATCCACAACCTCTCTGGACAACCTGTGCCAGTGTCTCACCACCCTTACAATAAAGAACTTAATTAAGATCTAATTAAGAACTTAATTAAGATTTAAGAAATCATTTCACAATAGCACCCCATTACAGACAAACCTGAACAATGGTCTTGAATTTTGCTTTTCACATATGGGAGCAATCTGATAAGGATCAAATCAGGACTGCAAATCTATGGCTGTAATGTTAACATCACTTATGTTGTCTAAATTTGGAGGTACATAATTTACTCCACTGCACTATAGTCAGTTAGTTATTACTTATGTCAGTGTATAGAAGAGTAGTACTCCCAATGCTCTGTCAATAGGTATGATTCCACTCCTGGTGCAGAACAAAATGGAATGTTACATTATCCAAGATCCAGAGACATACTTACAGTGTTGTATATGCCAGAAAAGTAGGCAACTTTTCCTTAAAGTTACAGATTGTCTGACACACCAGTAATAATGCTGGCATGCAATCATACATGAAAATAAACCAAAAAAAATTAAAATAAACCAACCAACAAAACAACCCACCCCAGAATAGTATTACATCTTTCAGAGAGTTGCAGTGATATTTTCTATCTGTATTAATGTTGCAAGAAAACTTAAAAACTAAGATCTTGTTTTGTCTGCACTTTATTCTCTCCACAAAGACGTTTCTGCTTAATAGCTAAGATTTTCAGCCAACACGCTATTTATGTATATGTGTGTTGTTTTGTTTCTCATAGAGATGTTGTAGGTCAACCCCAGTGGTCAGATAAGCACTATGCAGTTGGTCACTCACTTCTCCCCCACCCCTAGGAAGAGGAAAGGAAAAAAAACCTGAGAAAACTTGGTGGTCAAGATAAACAAACAAACAAACAAACAAAATTTGTTTAGTAAGTGAAGGATATATGGAAGAAGAGGGAAGAAAATAAAACAAGTGCTGCAAAAGCAATCACGCACCACCTCCTGTAGGTAGACCAATGCCGCACCAGTTCCTGAGCAAAAGATGGCTAACCCCCATAAATTCCCCTCTTTCCATTTTTATTGCTGAGCATGAAGTTACATGGCAGGAAATATCTCTTCAGTTAGTGCAAGTCCTCTGCTCAGTTGTGTCCCCTCCCAGCCTGTCGTGCACCCACTGGGGGGTGGGGGAAGGGTGGGGCAAAAAACAAGAAGGGATTGATGCTGCGCTAACACTGCTCAGCACAAGGTGGAACATTAGTGTGTTACCAACAGTTTCATCACAAATACAAAACAGAGTACCGTACAAGCTACCGTGAAGAAAATTAACTCTCCCAAGCAAAACCAGTACGAGAGTGCAGTACAATAGGTACAGTTCCACATCCAACAGTCCCAAATGATAAACTAATTAAAAAAATACTAATGCAAAGCAGGAAGAAAAAGATAGGGCATCCTACTTTAGTCTTATAAAGGGGTGAAATTTTCTGCTGGTTTCATGAGCTAAAGCAGCTCAGCAAAAAGTACAATAAGTACAAAAAGTAATGAGAGGGGTAGGACATCACAGCGCAACAGGAGCGAAGAAAGGAACTCTCAATCTGATTTAGTCTTGAGGGGAAACAAAGCAGCTTCTACAAGTAGCAGGCGGAAATGCAAGCCTCATAGACAGTATTCAGCACCCTCTGGCTAAGGGAATGGTTTCACATCCCTACACAACTCCCCTTTTGGAACCCCCCCTTTCCTCATGCCTGTGTCTTCCTCCAAGTCTGCAGAATCTTGTAATGCATCTTGCACCAGCTCTGGCAGTCACTCACTGGGCCAACTTGTGAGGTGATTTAGGTAACTAAAATGGCAGACTACCTTCTGCCAGCCCCCATGCCCTACAGAAACAAACAAACAAACAAAAAGAAAATATTCTTGTGCTCTTTTGGTGAGCTGAATCAGCCAAAGGTAAGGCAAGACACCCAAATGCACTTCAAAGGGATGCAGGGGTAGGAATGGGAAGATGTATCACATAAGACGCTCAAGTTTAGGTAAATAGTTAAGAAATCCAAATATCAACAGGTTTTCCCCACATTTTTTTCTAGTTTTCCTTTAATTTGAGACTATAGAAAATTACCCTGTTTTCCATGAAAAATGAAAGGGCGCAAACTAGCACCTCTTTCACTTTCATAGTGAAATCATGTCACTCAGCACTGTCAGCCCTCCCTCTAATAGGTACCAGTCTAAGCCACATCTAGACCACTGTAGGATTAGATTCTCCAGCTTTCCTGCTTCCTAGAGAAATAATGAAGGGTATAGATGTTGATGTTCTAGCTAAGAAAGCAGCTATTCAGTATTGCATATATTTATGCATTTTTGTATTGACAGTATATATTTATAAATAAACCCATGCACTGAATTCAAATAACACTGTAACATGACTCCTGCATGCAACCCTTTTAAAACCCAGCCTTTTGTTGTTACAGAATTCACATCAACCTCTTGTAACTAACTGGTCAAAGCACCAGTCCTGTACTTAAGGCAATGTAAATTAGCTTGCCCAGACAATATTCTATCAGTTAAACTAAACAAATTAAAAATAACATTTTGGATAACAAATTTTATAACAACATTTTGACAGACTAGAGCACAGCATAGGAAAAACAGGAAAATAAGGATGTAAACTTTTTTATATAGAAAAACATTTTACTAACTTTGGTCAAGAGGTCATTCAGTAACAACTGGAGTGAATATAAGCTGACATAAAATATGCATCTGAAAGGAAATCTTATATAGCTGTACCTTTTGTTTAAAAAAAAAAAATCAACTTTTCACTCAATCCTTAAGTAGAGAAAAATACTTTCATTGCAAATACACTATTTATTATTGAAGCCTAGCATTAAAAACATACTTCAGTACTTTCATGGCTGGTCAATTCTGTTAGTTTAAAAAATGAAATAAGACTGACCTGGACAGAAATTCTGCTGTGTCTGAGTAGTTAATTTTTCTTGTATGGCACGCTTTTCAAAATGCCCTGCAGTTGCATGCTGATGTAGGCCTCGTCTGGTGGCAAATCCCGATTCTCCAGGTTCAGAAAACTTCAGGTAAAACTGTGGCTCCAAATCACCAAGAGAGAGGTTTATAGCCCCATGTCTCCCATGGCCATAATCAGGGAACATAGATTCGTCCTCGGTGCTCTGTGCTGGTAATGGCAGAATCCGATGATGCAGCTGTGGGCTAGGCAGTCTCGAAGATAACGGAGAAGGAATAGGTGACATTTGTTTGTGTGTATTAGATAGCAGATATGAATTACTAAAAACATTACTCACTGATACTAACGAGGGTGAATGCAGCTTTTTCTCTTCCAGTTTAAGATTATTACTTGTCTGAGAAAGATCAGGACTTTCATTTACAGGCAGGTTCAAAACTAAATGCTTGTTGCTTCCCCGGGATACCGTGGTTCTTTTCTCATATATTGAACCTGGCAGTTTTCTGTCTACTCTTGTAATTTGTTGCAGTCTCTTCCACTCTGCAGCTTCATCTAAACTGTCGCTCCGAATAACTTTCAGAAGAGCTTTATTGACTGCTCCCACAAGGTTGCATGACTCATCAGTAATGTGCACTCTCTCTGCTTTGTACTGCAAACCAGAGCCGCCTTGCTCCTTTTCCTTCAGCACAGCATTTTTAGAGTCTCCAGCAACTTCATCTACAGAGTACACGTCAGTTCTTGATATAAACTCATTACTTACTGTTGTGAGAACAGGAGGAACGGTTTCTTTATCTCTGTGAAAATCAGGTAAAGACTCTGAAGGGGGTTCATCAACTTTTTTAATAGAAGCTTCTGAATCCTGTACTTTAGCAACAACTGTGTTTCCTGGTTTCTCCCTGCATACTGGCTCAGTATACTTGCTACTTTTCAAGCTTTTAGCAGCTGCAGATTTACTTAATGTCTCGAGTTTGTTAGGTAGACTGTCCTGGGATGACTTTACCAAAGACATACTCTGTTGCACTTTCATAATTTCAGGGATGCATTCTGCATTATCCACTAGTTTAACTGTGACTGTGTCGTTGTCTTTTGAGCTAGAACTTGGTAAGTCAGCATCCAGTTTCACAGCTTTGTTGCTTTCAAGAAAACACCCCTCTTTTATCCACCTTTCTGGTTGTAGACTGTTTTCTACTGGTAAATCATCCTTACCTTTTACTGCTAGCCAACTGGAGGCAGAAAAGGAACTGGGAAAACTCTTGGTAGGAAATCTTGTTGGGAGCATTCTCTTATTTTCTAGTTGCATGTTTTGTGCGCTCAGTAAAGGAAAATGTTGTTCATGTATCTTTTTCCCCCCTTTCCAGTGCCTGAACTCCTCAAAGCTCTCTTTCCTTCTATATTTCTTTAATTTTTTGTGATTCAAATTGTCTCTATTTGCGGAATTCAGAAAGAACTTCTGCTGATGTGTAAAACTGAAGTAATCATCACTTTTAAGTTTTGGGACTCCAGAAACATCCTGTCTCATTCTCTCTTGATGTCCTTTGTTAAGGTCCAGAATATGATGTGATCTCAAAAGACTGGATAACAGTTTTTCCTTTTCAGCAGTTAGTTTGTACAGTTCAATAAGAATGTCTTTTGTGGTAGTTTGCTTGAAAATAATATCTCCAAAGTTTTCATATGGCTGTTCTCTCAGCTCCATCTGTAACTTCTCCCTTACCTGATAGCAGCTACAGAAATGTTTACTGGTTCTATCCAGTGTTAAACAGCCCTTGTAAGTAAATCCTCTGACTTTGCCCTCTGGAAGATAGAAGCTGATGTAACAAAGCTCCATAATGGGTTTGTGCAATTGAAGGATAGTATGCGTGCCTTCCATTATGCTTGCCAAATTACTCATTCGTTTAAATTATGTGCTAAGTATTCCAAAGCTTGCATGACATAGCATGTGAGGCAGGGAATGGACAGAAGGCATCTGACTAATCTTCAACAATAATATTGTCTGCTGGAAAAAATAAAGAGAAGCCTGTCAAACTTGATTATGGCAAACTTAATATGACAAATAACAAGCCTGCAGAAGCACAATCTTCTCTCAGTGTTTTCTGATACAAATCTCTTACCTTGAAAAATCTGACACAAAAAGAATGATATTGCTAACACTCATAGTTGGAGTCATAATCCTTCTCTCATACATCCTTATTCTGTCTCCAAGGTTCTCAGTTAAGAGAACTGTTCCATAAGACCACAAAATGTTCACTAAACCATGCATCTGAAACACAATTTACTTTTAAATCCTGTATCCTATTGCTCTCTCTCTGTTAGAAGTTGCTGTTGAACTTAGTGAAAAAGAACCATTCAAGCACTTATGTTGCCTTTCTTTCAGTCAACACAACCAGCAACACCATTAAAATGTAATTAGCTCTATTTACCAAGAAAACATTAAAAAAAAAAATGGCTGAACAATTTCTTCTAGTACTTATCTGTGAAACTGCCAAGACATCAAAAAAACTCACAAGAATTAAAAAAAAAACAAAAAAACCAACCCAGAAAAAACTATATCAAAGAGATCAGGTTCTGTTTACTTGGCTAGCATATAGGTGCCGTATAAACCTCTTCTGATTCAGCATATAATAGTGTAATTGTACTACTACAGGTAGATTTATTGAGCTCTGTAATTTCTTTTCCTTTGCATCACATTGTATTTTCTTGCTACAGATTAGATCTATTCACATTCATTTGATACATCATGATAGAAGATGGTTTACTAATTTTGATCACTAAATTGGCTTTTTATCCAGAAAGAACTTTACTACCACAAGTAAAAAAGTTTGCAGTCACTAGGAAACATCTAAGCATCAGGGAAAGACCTAAAGCTCAGCAGCAAATCCAGCAGCATGCAAAGCTGAAGAGTGCTGACTCCAGGGCTTCTCTTTGTTGAAAAATGCAGGAATTTCAGTTTTCAGCTTTCAAAACATAAATACAAGATAACTTTCTGTCATTTCGAAATAGTAAAATTCAGCCTCAGGCAACAATACTTAAAAGGAAGGTGTCATGTTACCACACCGCATATTTCAGTTTTATGTACTTTTTCAATACACTAGTATTGTATCAGGTTTTATTATGCAGGTAGTTAAATGTGATAAGTTGTTGGCATAATTTCGTAAGTAATTAGCAAATCCTAACTCTAAGAAGCAAGCAGCATTTACACAAAACCTATCCTACAGCAAGTAGTCATTTATTACAGTGATTTTTCTCTAAGTTTTGTTAAAGCACTGCATCTGTTTATAATGCTCTTTAAATAATTTCAAACTTTCCATTTACTTTGAGTAGTATCACTCTTCATGCTAGCAAAACTCTTAATTTGCATACATAATCCTTGAAGACAGAGGAGCGATCCTAAGGAGACTAATGGCAAGAACAATCTTCCATTAGAGTCAGATCGGCTTCCTAATTCTGTTCACCAGCAGATGATAGCTACATGGCATGATTCAGAATCCCATCCAGGTATTGGAAGGTGTAGGAAAGATGCAAAATCTTTAGTCACTACTTCTGTTGAAAACTGGCTTGTTGTTTCATAGGCCTACAAGAGTTTCTGAGAAAATTATGCCATACTGTTTCTTCTTGTATTCTTGTTTTAACTCATTGCCTGAGTTTGGAGTTCAAAATACAGACAAGTCTGAGTGCTGCCAAAAAGAGCAGCCTCACTTCTAGTCTTCCCTGTCTCCAGCTGTGCATGCCTGCTGCTTTTCTAGTGTAGAACTGAGTGATGATGCAGCCACAGGGTGTGTCACTGGCAGATGCAACTAAGTAGTTCTGCATACAGAAATAATAACCATCAAAGAAGATTTTTTTCATCACAGGAGCAGTCTTGAACCTACTCGCTCTTTACCTAAGCAGTAGAGAACACCCTTTTACGGTAGCAGTTTGTCAGTACCTCACCTTAGCCAAAGCACCAAACTGCCCCTCAAGTAATATACTGTGGTGAGCTCCATCAAACATGAGCTAGTTAACATGTGGACGTTTCCATAAATGAATACTTAGCAGTGCCAGCTAATGCATGCTGAGTCAGTTTTTACTTATAGAAGTTTACTGAGGAGCAGAATTTCAAGAGTTACTAGGCAAGGAAATGGATGGCACAGTCCATATTTTGGTTCACTGGCAACATACAGCTGTTAAACCAGGAAGAACAGGCAACCAGGAAAAACCTAGCTAAAGTGAGAGTGAGGGTGGATATCCCAAGGAGACTAAATCTATGCTTAGTGTTAAGGAAGATGATGCATCACATTGAAAGTATTTGTCAATGCATTGATTTAGAAAATAAAAAAAGTAGCAATAGGAAAAAAAAGAGAATTTTTGGTGGTTTTTTTTTTTTAATAAATGGAGCAAGGTTGTATTATGCATATTTCACAGTCTTATCTAGAAAAAAACTTAGTTAAATTAGTCTGTATTATTTTATGTGTTCCTTTGTTTCACCTCAAATAACATTGCATTTTCTCACTGAAATATGATTAAGCGACTAGAAGGAAGTAGCATCATGGAAACTATGGACCCAGTAGCTATACATCCAGACATTACGATCAGATTTAATATCCTCAAATGACTCTGTGGTATCACACGGTGAAACTCAGCTCAATTCTGAAGAGTATTTTTTTTTTTGGACAAAAGAATAAATAGATAAAGGAGAGAACTAGCTAGCCCTTACCTCTGCCACCCAAATTTGCTAGACTATGCCCTCCCAAAACACAAGCAGTTTCCCTAATCTAATCTGATCTTTAAGATGTTATATTACTGAAATGAGACCTATCATTCTCCCTTAAATCATATTGCAACTAAAAGCTCTTTTTCAGTTACAAGCAAATAAATCTATTGAAGATTTTTATTTTTTTTTTTAAATTATACTGACTTTGACAACAGCCTGTCAGGCCAGCTTAGGCCTGTTCTGCAGGTTACACACCATTAGATCTCTTCTTAGTTACACCAAACTAAACACTGGGTTTGATGCACACATACTGACACACTAAAATGTACAATCACCTTGAAGAGAACATAATACCCCCCTTATAATGAAAAAAATTATACGTATTTTAAAATTAAATCATATTAAAAGTGAGTGTTATAGAAAACCAGTAATAATAACAATAGCAGTAACAGAAAGAACACTTTGTTACTATTAGCCCAACAAAGTATTCTTTATCAAATTTTTCATTGATTTAAAAGATAATGTGATACCATATACTGCTGCATTGTTTAGTGGTATTTTGAAGCTTACTTCTATCAATAGATACACTCTTTAAAAACCTTTTTTTCTCCAGTGCCTTCCGCATCTTATTCAGCCTTTTAATAATCTTGCATAAGGAAACAAAGTGAACTCTTTGCTCTATGAGCAGCAACATTATAAGAAACTATCAGGAGAACTATGTTAAGGAAAAGAAACTGGTTAAGGACTTTCAAACTTAATTACAGCACTAGTTCCCCAGCTTTTCTGTTCATCTTGCAATCTGTTAATAATCTTCCTTCTATTTGCGAAACTTATTACAGGGAGTGAATTTTTGTAAATTAAAGGATTTAATTTTTTTTTTTTTTTTTTTAGTTCAATAACAACAAAAAATGTCCCAAATTTACTGCTTCTCAAAGTCTAGGGACAACACATCCATCCATTTTGCTGTTCAAAATGTGCTCTTAGGAAGCCAGGTCTATAATTAGAATATATAATAATTTGTGTAATAGTTTGAACACTACTGCATACTGTTAGTTTAAAATACCACTTTTCTCAGCTTCAAAAGTACTGAGCTAGCAAAGAGTTGTTAAGGAATAAGAAATAGAGTCTATGCCAGAGAACTGCTTTATTAAATTACAGATCTCATCCAATGGCACAAGGGAAGTATTAAAACATATTAGACTATTGCTAACAAATTCACATGAAACAAAGGAATAACACAGAACATAAGGTTGAAAGTTGTTAAATTTATGCACAATGAAGAGCTTTGTACACCAATATCAATTTTAAGCATAAATGCAAAATGTAGTAAATATACAAACAAATAGATAAATAACATACCAGAAAGGCATGTTAAAATGCTTTGGATCCTTAACAATCTTTGGCTACATCATTCTGTTCAAATTAATCCAACATAGGACTGAGTCCATGAAACAAAGTAATCTGAAACTCAGCCATCTGGATACACTATCTTTGTGATCTGAAGATAACGAAATCTGAGTTTCTTGATATCTCAAATCATAACTTCACAAAATATAACCTACGCATGTCATGCAAAGTTAATTGGTTTTAAAGGTTTCTGGATGGACTAAATAATATGATGACATCTCACTAGAAACAAAGACATTCTCAGAAGCCAAACTGCCCTGTACTTGTTCCTGGTCCTTTACAGACCACTGCCTCATTTGTAATAGCTCTAAATAAGCATATTACCTTTTTAGTGCACAGGAGACGAAAAAAAGCAATGATGATACTTTGAGGTTTAGAACTAATGCTCACCATTTATACTTAAAATTTATGTTACATTTGACTAGTCGGATTGGGAAACAAACATAAAATACATATATTACTCACACCACCTCATCTCAAAATTGTTTAAAAAAATTATACACTGAAAAACTAGAATGATACGGAAATTATTGACTCACTAATAGTTTAGTTTCTGAAGTGATAACAATATTTTTAAAACGGTGACCTTCTTCACTACAAAACATCTCAATTCCTAATATTTTCAGTTGTACTTTTACCAAGAAAGTCCCTTTATTCAGATTCTTGCTCCTATGATTTGAGCCAGGTGACCTCCATTACAATTTATCTAAGTTAAATGCCAGGCATAAATTATATTTTTCCTTATTACAACCATATAGTTCGAGTTCCAACTA